TGAACCCGCGGGCTCAGGCAATCCACTCACCTCAGCCTCCCAAAGGCGCGGGATTACAGGCTGAGCCACCAAGCCCAGCTCACTGTCATTCACTTCTTCATTTTCTCAGCAAACATTTATAAAACCGGGCTCAGTGGTTCAGCCTGCAATCCCACGCTTTGGGAGGCTGAAGTGAGTGGATTGTCTGAGCCCGCCGGTTCAAGATCCGCCCGGGCAACTTGGTGAGACCTCATCTCTACAATAAATCAAAAAATTACCCGGGTGTGGTAGCGCGCACCTGTAGTTCCAGTTACTTGGAAGACTGAGGCGGAAGGATTGCCGGAGCCCAGCAGGTCGAGGCTGCGGTGGCCGGGAGTGACCACTGCACTTCAGTCTGGGCGACAGAGTGAGACTCCAACACACACACAAAAAACCAAAAACATTTACTGAGCACTTTCCTAAACTGTGAATAAGACGAGCAAGTTCCGGCCCTTCCGGAGCTCAGCTGGAGAGACACGGACAACAAACAGGTTAATGAATGCATAGCATGGCAAATGTAGTCAGTGAGAAATGTGAAGCCATCACAAGGTATTACAGGGACAACAGCATAGGACCCCTTCAAGCAGGGCAGCTAGGGAAGGCCTCTCCAAGGAGGTGATATTAGACCTGGGGTCTGAACGACACAAAGAAGCCAGATACTGACATTCAGAGGGAAGAGTGTTCTGCCAGAGAAAACACAAGTGCAAAGGCCCTGAGGCCTGCGTGTGCTTGGAGAGAACAGGGTATTGCAAGTGGCAAGTGTGGCTGGAGCTCGTGGGCAGGAAAGAGGGGGGTTTAAGATGAGGCTGCCATGTCTTGCAGGCCAGTGAGGAATCCGGATTTTATTCTAAGGATGATGGAAAGCCATGGGAAGCTTTGGCAGGAGAACAATGGGGCTTAATGTGTACTTCAAATAATCCCTGTGCGGCTGGGGTATGGACAGTGTGGGCAGGGCAGGAAACCTGCTGTAGTCCAGGCCTGAGCTGCTGTAGTCCAGCTGCCATCATCCAGACCATGGCAGCAGGGCCCAGGGGGTGGTTATAGAGGCAGACAAGGGAGGAATTTGGGGGACATTTTGGAGGTGGAACTCACAGACTTTGCTGCTGTATTCATTTAATTTAAAAACGCCCCAAGAAAACACATTTACCTGAGTAGAGTCAAAACTTAATTGTAAAAGTGGCAACATGTTTCCTTCCTTTCCTCAAAACGTGCACAGGCGTCTGCTGAGGAGGCGGGCTGTGACAGCCACGCCGGGAACGATTGTTCTTTTCTCTGCACAACTGCCATGTTCTTCTCAGTGCTTGGAGCTCAGTTACACTTATCTTGTTAAAGTAAACATGTGTTTGTGGTTGAAGAAAAAAATTCTAGATTCCTAGGCTGGGGGGAGTTCCTAAGAAAAGATTCCTAGCCGGGCTTGGTGGCTCAGCCTAGTAATCCTGAGCCTTGGGAGGCTGAGGTGAGTTGATTGCCTGAGCCCACGGGTTCGAGACCCGCCTGGGCAACTTGGTGAGACCTCCTCTCTACAATAAATCAAAATTACCCGGGCGTGGTAGCACGTGCCTGTAATTCCAGCTACTTGGAAGACTGAGGCGGAAGGATCGCCGGAGCCCAGCAGGTCGAGGCTGCGGTGGCCGGGAGCGGCCACTTCACTCCAGTCTGGGTGACAGAGTGAGACTCCAACTCAAAAAAAAAAAAAGAAAAAAAGAAAAGATTCCTTTTCTTTCCAAGGATTTGTCTATCCTGGGGGAACTGGGAAAGGCTTCTCACCTCCAGACTTGAGCAGTTTGGCTTCACTTGCCTTTTGTGAATAAAGTAAGAAACACATTCAGATCTCGGGGTGCAGGATTGTTAATGTGAAGAATTATCACAATAAATCACTGTTTTATAAGGTACTTATATGAGTTTAAAACAGAAACCAACATCTCTCTTTGACTTGTGGTGAATATGTATCACGGTTCTGGTAAATTAAACAGCATCTTCTGTGGTTTTACAAGGCCTGACAATTAAATTCGTGAACTCGTCCTAGAAAAGTGCTACCTACCTCATTGCTGAATGTCACTATGGTCACTTTTTAATCACTCCCCTTGGGAAGCTATGCACTAACACCAGTGCCTAGCCCACCTGTCGAAGCAGTTGTGGAACTCTTTTTTTGGAATGGCCATCAGAGTTACCGTCATATTACCCCTGGTGTACTGAATGTCATCAAAATATCTCCCTTTCAATATTTCCTTTATCTTTGGGTAAAGAAAAACGTCACTGGGGGCAGATCAGGTGAGTAGGGAGGGTGTGCCAATGTGGTCATTTGTTTACTGACTAAAAACTCCCTCACAGACAGTGCTGTGTGAGCTTCATGATGCAAGAGCTCCTTCAGGACCATTTTTGCACACACCTTTCTCATGCCAAGATTTTCAGTTAAGATTTTTCTGTTTCTCTGTTGATGTTTATTTGGTCTGCTGTGTTTCTCACAGTCAGTCAACAATTTTCACGCACAACTCGACAAATTTTTGCAATGTTTTTTGTCAGTTCTGCTCGTTACTGGCCATCCTGACCTTTCTTCATCAGTGACGCTTTCTCTTCCATCAGAAAAACATTTAATCCATTTTTACACTGCAGTTTTCTTCATGACATTATTCCCATAAACTTGGACTGACATGTCCCTGATTTCACTTCCACTCTTGCCAAGTTTAACAAAAAATATAATGTTTGTTTGTTGCTCTAATTCACATTGGCACACAAAAACATGCAACAGCAAGGATGAACACCACTCAGCGAGACACCACCGCACGTTGACACGAACACAGTTGTAAGACGCTAATATAACAAGGTTCTGGAACCTTACCAAGTTGTTTGTACAGTGCTGCCAATGTAAGTGCATGGTGGCAAGTCTGTGAACTTAACCAACAGACCTCGTATATGACATAAAATTATATCACATGTCACATATTTTGGTCCACAGAAGGAGTTCCTGGGAGAGCCTGCTGGGTGATCAGCACAGTTCCCGCCACCTCTCTGCACGCTCACTGACAATGACCAGCATGATTCCCAGCTCCACACATACTGAGCCCCACTAAGAATCATCTTCACAATTGATCGATACAGTCCAGGTGGCCACAGGGTCCCTAGGGATGGGTCTCGGAAGGCCCGTGTTCACCCACAATTCAAGTCGCCTCTGAGAAAGCCCATGGGGCAGTGGGAACACTAAGTGAGGGCACCAAGGTGAAAGTCCCCATCACACAGTGGGACCACAGAGATGTCACCCATGAGCATTTCTGCTTACCAGCAAAGGCACCGCTTCCTGGAGCACAGGTCAAGCACTGTAGCTCCTGTGGCCCCATGCCTACACACTGCAACCCTGGAGGAGCTAACTCTTTTTTTTTTTTAGTTAGAGTCTCACTCTGTCACCCAGACTGGAGTGCACGCAGCCTCAACCTGCTGGGCTCCGGAGATCCTTCCGCCTCAGCCTTCCAAGTAGCTGGAATTACAGGCGCGTGCTACCACGCCCGGCTCATTTTGATTTATTGTAGAGATGAGGTCTCGCCAAGTTACCCAGGCGGGTCTTGAACCCGCAGGCTCAGGCAATCCACTCACCTCAGCCTC